AAACACGATCTGAAAGGAGTGTTGAAGTGTTTAGGGGTAGAAATTTGCACCCACCCACCCCCTCCCCCTCACAGATCGTGACAGACAGGGCTTTGGACCCATCACGGATCGTGACAGACAAGGCGCAGGGTCATTATAGACTGTGATAGAACACTTCAATGAAATATCAGAGATCATGCACAACTAACATATGATTGAAGCATATATGGAGTGTTATCCTGTTGAAAGTCTATAATATAAGGTAAACCATTATGAAGAAATGTACACCAGTATGCATAAAAAACAGCTGCTCTTAGAACACCAGCTATAGCAGCTACATCTTGTTTCACATTTTTAATCCCGCAAGGGATTGCGCTAACAGCTTTTGATATTAATAATACATTTTCAAATGTTACTACTCTATTACTTTTTGATGATGTGAAACCATTTGAAAGTATTTTCTTTGAACGTCTTGCTCGAGCTTTGCCTCGACTTAAAACACTCGAGATAATTAATCAACTTGAACAGCAAGAAAAAACAGCAACAACGATGAAAATTGACATTGACTTTGGTCATTTAGCTGTACTTATTTTATTTGATATTCATATGGATTATGCTGAACAATTTCTTTGTCAAATTCATCTTTCTTCTCTAATCGAACTTGTTATAAACAAGGATATATTGTTGAAAATAATCGCTGAAAATGATCAACAAGCAAGAGAGAATTGTTCAAGAGTGGGAACATTACTAACATCCAAGCCATCTTATGAATCAATAGATGCTATTCGAAAGTTTTTTTTCACTGGCTCACTGCGTCAAACATCGAAACGAGTGAAAGAAGTAAAAAATAAATAATTTCAATAATGATCAATTATTTCTCTTGATGAACTTTTGCTTCTCAAGAGTCGATCAAATACGAACATTAGAAATATCTTCACTCATTGAACTATATGCCAACCAGAAAAATAAAAAAGACTTATATTCAGAATAAATACATTCTGTTTGTTTCATCTTTAAAGATTGTAAATACAATGGGTTAAATATAGGAATTTTATTAATGAATAGTATTAAAAAAACTAACCAGATGTATTGGAAAAAACGAATTGTAATGTTCTGCTCTTCCTTTTAAAATATCAATGATACGTGATACTATAAGTTGAAATGCTTCTTGATTCCATGCACTGATATAGTATATACTCAAGTTGTGCTATAAGTTTATTATCCGTATGTGTTTCTTAATTTTCTATATTTCTTTGTTTCTTCGCACATATATATGTTAACTACTACTAGCAGTACGTGGTATGGATAGCGTATCACTTCATTGACTGACTCATCAACTTCGCTGCAACACAAAAATCAATACGTGATTTTTGACATTTTTGCACAATCAGGATCAGTTCAGGGATATTCATACCTCTTTTCTTATCAATAAAGCCTTACCCACTGTTTTCTTTTTCTGTTCAAAATTTCTCGAAATCAAGCAAATTTTTAAACATTCAACACAGATTCTCAGTCGTCGCCGTTGATCAATGCATCGCGTTAAACTTCTCATAGAACTCAATGCTCGTACAGATCAATCGATTTCAGCGTGACAAGCAGGGTTTCTAATGGCAGGTGTACCCAGCAGAAGTAAAATGTACCGTACACCTGCTATTACAAAAATAAATGCTGCTGTACACTTGCTTAGAAAATTAGAGTGTACCTTGTACACTTTACCAACTGAATATACACTTTGTTTTTTTATATATTGAGAATAGGGATGTAACAATACCAACACGGTATTGGGGTATTGGTATTGGTCGGCATTGGTATTCTCATATGGTTTACTTGTTGATATCAATACTAATACCAATACCGACCAATACCATATGGTATTGGTATTGTTGCATCCCTAGTTAATAGTCAATTTAAATAATTGAATATCTTCTTGTGTAACATCTTGTTCATGAATAAGTTTGTTTATTTTCAGTTGCATTTTATTTATTTCTTTTTGTTGTTTTTCTGTTTTTTGAGTATAATATTGTTCAAGTTCTTGACGTTTCTTTTCATACAAATTATTAATCATTTTAAAGTATTTATCACGCCATGTATCGAGCTTTTTAAGACAATTACCGATTAATTTTTCTTTTGTTTTTTCCATAATTTGATTCATAAGAGCATTGATTGATGCATAATGTTCATCCAAATGATCAGGACAAAAAGTCTTGTCACAACAATGACATGAAATACCTAATGTTGATTCACATGATTCAATAGCACATGATTGAGACATGTCTATGTTGAGTAAATATTATTAGAAAGTAAAATGCGTAAAAATTTTCTGTTGTCTTATATCGCGTAGTTATATCAATGTTTTGTTTTTGTTATCTTATGGAGGACGATAAATAAGAAAAATTTTTAAAAATCTTTATTTTTTTCTTCACACGACTAAACATATTTGAAATATATTTGGATATTTACTTTCAACAAAATGTCGATAACAACTAGACGTTTATAAAATTGGAAGAATCGAACTAAAAATATTATTTACTACTTCTTTTAATCAGAAGTGAGTATCTTATAAGTATCAATTAAATTATTAAACACTTGATCTTCTCTTTCGGTATTGAAGTTTTCGAGAATTTGGCTCCAATAGATTTGTACAATTCAATTACGAGACTTGAAAATGAGAAGTTGTTCAATGATATCAATTCAAATGGGAAACAATTTATTGTTCGGTCTCAAGATATTCATATCGATTGAATAAATAAAAATAGATTAGTTCCATGATTCGATTGGAATTAGTCATATATTTGATTTAAATAATTGTTCTATTTGATCTCATTATATTGCTGTTACTTTAATGACACAAACATTCGAGCTTATTATTTAAAACGAGTAATCGTTCGATTGTTGATGTTTATATTACTTAGTAATTGTGATTTTATTTGAATTTAATATTTTATTTCTTACTATCTTTGTTTTATGGCATAAATAAAAGTAGTAAGTCATTTTTAATACTAATGAATCGTTGCATTGATATAGAAATCAACATCTCTAGGAAGATTCATAGAAATTCAATAGATATTCAATTATTGAATAAATAAATCTTGAACAATAAGTAATTTTATGTTCATTATACATTATGTATTGATACAATCTTTTTTTTTACAATTTTATTAAAGTATAAATATCAACATCGAGATATATTTTTCTCATAATATCAAATCAAAACAATTATATATCTAAGTTACTTAATCATATTTTCTAATTCGTTTCTATCCTTTATATGATCTGTTTTTTATCATAGCGCATTCACAAAGATTTTTCATAATCTTTGTTTATAGATGGAAATAAAGAAGAATATCAATAGAAAAAAAATCAATTAACATCGATTATAGTCGAATTTTCTTAGATGGTTTAAACAATTGAATGAGTTTTTAAGTTGAACCAAAAAAAAATAAATGTTTATGAGATCTTCTTCAATTTCGTTTTATTTATCAAATAAAAGGAAAGATATAATCAGTTGAATGAATCATCCCCTTTTCTGAAAGATAGAATTATTATATATTCGAGGTAAAATACAGCATGGCCTTTTTTCCTTTCCTCTCATGTACACAAAAGATTTAATTCAGTTCGAATAAAACAAATACGCAATAAAATTTATTTTCTTTCAATTATGTCTAACAAACGTAAAATTGAAGATCTTTATTCATCATCATTATCATTACCATTAACAACAACTGAAGGTAAATTTGATTTGATGTCATAATTCTATTACTTAATAATGGTACTTTTAGCTCGATTTCCATCAGATGGTAGTGTTAAAGTTGATATGGGAGGTTTTGGTATAAGTTTTAAATCAATTGAAACAAATGCAGTTTCTAGTTGTCATTTTGTGTTAATAACTGGTCTTATATATAAAAAACGTTTTGGTTATTTATCACATCGAGCAACTGAATATAATTCTTCATCTAATAAATTAAAAGCACTTCAAGACATTTTTCGGATCATTCTTGAAGATATAAACAGTTACAACAGTAAAGATCGTGAAGATGAACAAACATCACTAAACATCAATGATTTTCAACATCTGAAAATGGTTATAGGTGGTGGTGTTGATGATGAAAAAAATTTAAATCGAAAATGTGTCATGATGTTGAATGATCCAACTATCAATCTTGAAGAAAAATTAAAAAATGAAAATTACAAATCTCTTTATGCAAAATTAAAAAACAATGTGATTATTTTACCACCTGTAACTTACTTATTAAATAATGATAATGAAGATGAAGGTATTTTAAAATTTTTTTTAATGAAAATTCATCAGATAAAATAGAACATTTGATTTTCTATGCACTTATATAAAAAATTTTTGAGATTATCTAGGTTTTTTTTTGTTTCAAGAACATGATATTTAAATTTTTATATTACTTTTCTTTTTTTTTATTTAGATGATGATAATGAAGAATTAGTTATTGATCCACCTGGTTTATGGGTCAAATTCAATTGTTACTCCAATATTCTTCGTGTTGGTTTGGAATGGTTGAGCAAAATCAGCAATGAATATCCATTAGCATTTACAATCGTTGATTTAAATAAACATGATGTTAAATTCGAATGGACAATAAACATGGAGAAAATTGAAGAACAACTAACTAATCCATATGTTGGTTTATATGAATTATTTGGTTTATCTCGTATTCTTTGTAAGTATGATGTATTCATCAAATTTTAATTAATCTTATGTTTTAGATTATCTTCGTTCATGTATTAACACTGGTCGTATTCGTATGTATTTCATAATTAATATTTTTTTAATAACGATATTTTTTTTTAGAAGTTCAACGACCACAACAATCATTGACATATCTTCAACATATGGAACATACGGAACATCTGTTATATCAATCAGTAAGCAATATTTTTTTTTCTTTTTACATCAGATTTTTGATTATGTTAATAAGTATAAGATAATAGGTCATTTACATAGATTTTCTTAGCAAAAATTCTTTTTTTTAAATAGAATATTATAAATAAAAAATCTATTTTGTTGTTTTAAAGGTTAAAAATTTTTTCCTTCTAAAACTATTATCTTATTCTATTGTATAAAAATAAGTAGTAATTAAGAAATGAAAAAATTCTAATCGATAAAAGAATACGAAATATATAGAAAAGAATTGCTATTAAATAGTTATTAAAGAACAAAAAATGTAATTGTTAGACATAAAATTATTCTTGTTTATCTTTTGAGTTAGAAATCATTATTAATTAGATTTAATAAAACTCATATTTTTCAAAGAACATTACAACAAAAACATTTTGGTGACTTTTTTCGTTCGTGTTCCGATGTGATGATGGTATTTAACAGTCAACTATTTTCTCTCATTTTTTTTCTCCCTCTCTTGATATCTGCACGTGTATATATTTATATTGATTAATTCTTTATCTCTCTTGTTTAGAGCTGTCCAAATATACGAAAAATTAGTATCGATTTATTAGATCTTGCTCAAGAAGGAAAATTAAATAATGGTAAGAAAATTTTTTATTAGATATAAATAAATTTATTTGTTTATTTTAGTTCTTGGTCATGATAGTGAAATTCGACAATGTATTCAAATTTTAATACAAAAAAGAAAAAATAATTTTTTTCTAATTGAAAATTCAGTAATAATATTACCTGAATTTTTTTCTTTTATAAATAAACAATATCTTTATTTAAATAGCATGTTACAGAAAGAACTATTCTTGGTGGTTTAGCACAACGTATTGTTCATCAAAATGTTCCTGATATATTATCAAGATGTTTATTTGCATTAAATATGCAAGAATTAATTGGTAAGAGTTATCTAAACTTTCTAGACGAATATTACTTTATAAAGGATTGTAGAAATCTTTAGAAAAATTTTTATTTTCATAATATTAATCATATAAAAAAAATTCATATGTTCTAGTTGATACAACTAGTCGTAATGAACTTGAAACCGATATTTGACAAATATTTTCAATATGTTTTAGTTAAAGAAACATCAGTTAATGATTGTATTTCAATTTTACGTGGTGTTAAACGTCATATTGAATCAGATATTGACGGTAAAAAGTTTTTAATTCAATTTTCTATACATTTATTCATATATATTTTTTTAATTTAGTTTTAATCCTTGATTTAGCTTTAGTTACTGCTGCTGAATTAACTAATCGTTATATACCAAATCCATATTCACCAGAGAAAACAATTAGTAAATATTTTTCAAATTTATAAATTCAAATAATTTTTTTCTTTTTGTTTTTTTTATCAAAGATTTGATTAAAGAAATATGTAAAAATACAAAAGAACGAATGACTAATCGATCAAAAAGAATTAATGAATTACAACAACAAGAATCAGAATTAAATAATAAAATAGAAAATTTATCAAATGAAGAAAATGAAAAATTAAAACAGATTCGAAAAGAATTAAATTTAATCAAATCAAACTATAATTTAGAAAAAGAATATATTAATAAATTAAAAAATTTATTTGAAAAATTATCAAATCTTCAAATTCAAATTGTTCAAGCTGAACAAAAAAAAAATTTAACTTTAATAAATAAAATAAAATTGAAACTTATACCAGAACTTAAGAAAAAAATACTCGAAATTGAATATCGACTTATTGAAGAAAATAAACATCGACAAGGTCAATTATTAATTGAAGTAGTTGGTCCAGATGATATTATTGAAAAAGGTTTGTTTTAATATACTTCTTTTATTATTTTAATTTCGAATTAAAAAATTTTTGATTTTAGTTTTTCAAAATAAGAAAATGTCTTGAGCCTTTTACAGATTCGCTTATAACTAAGATTTGATCTTCTTTTTCTTTTTTTCTTTTAGTTAGTCGAATGACTGGTATTGCATCTTCAAAATTATCTAGAACAGAAAATGATCGGTTATTAACATTACGTGATCATTTATACAAAAAAGTCATTGGACAAAATGATGCCATTGATAGTGTTGTGGAAGTTATACGAAATCGAGCTATATTTGGAAAACCAAATAAACCGATTGGTTTATTTTTATTCTTAGGTAAAATAACACATTAAGTTAACGAAAAATAATATAAGTATTTTTATAGGTCCAAATAGTGTTGGTAAAACTGAATTAGCAAAAACTTTAGCATTAGAATTATTTGATTCAACAGAAAAACTGATTTCTATTGATATGAATAAATATACTACATCTAATTCAATTGCTCAATTATTTGATTCATCTTTTGGTAAGGATAGTTTTTGAATTTCGGAATTATTTGATTTTGTTATTTTAAAAAAAAATGATCAATTATTAGAAGGTATGCGACAACAACCATATGCTGTAATTTTATTTAATCAAATTGAAAAAGTTCATCCACAATTTTGGAATAATTTATCTCAAGTTTTGGATCATAATCATTCTTTGGTAAATTAAATTTTATACTTAAAAAAAGAAATTTCGAAATGTATTTTTAGAATGAGAAACATGTCAATGTTGATTTAACAAATACAATTTGGGTATAGGACAATTGATCATGGGATAATTTATCACGGACAACCGATCATGATCATCTGATCATGGAAAAACTGCTCATGACGACAACTGATCATAAGGGACAACTGATCTTCAACAGTTGATCATAGAAAATCTTTCGATAATTGTCATTTATTTCCAAACAAAAAGGAACAGAGAGAGGGTGTGGGTGTGGGTATGGGGTGTGGGCGGGCGCGGGTGTGGGTGGGTGTGTGGTGGGTGCGAGTGTGGGTGTGGGTGGATGTGGGTGGGTGTGGGTTTTAAAAATAAGAAATAAATTCACACCCACGCCTACAGCTACACCCGCACCTACACCTACAGCTACACCCACACCCACACCCACCCCTACTCCCACACCCACACCCACCTACATCCACACCCACCCACACCCACACACCCACACACCACCCACACCCACACACCCAC